CACACACACACACACACACACACACACACACACACACACACACACACGAATCCTGCCCAGGCACAGTCGTACACGGGCCCTAGGCCAGCAGTGCCTCAGGCCAGGATGTCCAGCAACCTGACTGTGTACGCTACATGTTTGGACACGTGAGTCCACACGTAGATACAGGCCTGGTCGCGCACACGTGCTTAGACACGTGCATGAGTTCTCGTGGTCACGACCTCAGGCATCTGTGTTTGTATACATTGCTGAATGTGGACGATCACACTCACACTTGTGTGGCTACGGCTTCCTGTCAGCGCAGTCCCACGCCTGGGTGGACACAGGTCTGCGCAGGCCCACTCACCCTCCGCCCAGCCCCTCGCCTGGCCCGCAGGCCCTTGCCTCCACGCCCACCCTGTCTCCTCCGTGCAGAGGGCGAGTACTTCAGCGACGAGCAGATGCGGTTTCGGGCCCCGCTGCTGTATGAGCAGTACATCGGGCAGTACCTGACCCTAGAGGAGCTCAGCGCCCGCACCCCGGCCCAGCGGCCACCCAAGCCCGGTCCCCCCGGCACTCCCGCCTGCCCGCTCTCTGACCTGCTGCTCCAGTCCTACCAGGAGCGGGAGCTGCAGCAGCGGCTGCTCCAGCAGCAGGAGGAGGAGGAGGAGGAGGAGGCCTGCTTGGAGGAGGAGGAGGAGGAGGAGGACAGCGACGAGGAAGGTGAGGCCCGGCGGTGGGGAGGCCCCGGTGTCGCACAGCCCGGCCCCAGGCTGGTGTGTCTCAGCTCCACAGCACTAGGCCGGGCCCGCCTGCGGGAGCAGATCACGGCCCTGCCCTACCTGGCCTGAGTGCCCTGGCCCTTCCCGTCCTCTCCAGCATCCCTGTCCCTGCTCCTCGAAGACACCAAGCAGTCCCTCACCTCCAGGCCTTTGCTCATGCCGTTCCCTTTGCCACCCTTCAGGCGGCAGGTCCTAACCCTGCTCTGTGGCCTCCAGAGCATTGTGTTGTCACGTGTTCAGTGTGTGCCCCAGGAAGATAGGGACGGGGCCGTCTTGGTCACTGCTGTGTTCCCAGTGCCACCCAGCACGAAGGATGCAGCTCTCTGTGGAGGTGTGTTCAGCACAGTCCTCACACACCCCACCCTGGGCGTCTCCCCTACAGACCAGAGGCCTGACAAGGCCTTGGAGGCCTGGGTCCCCGACTCGGAAGAGAGGCTGATCCTGCGGGAAGAGTTCACCAGCCGGATGCACCAGCACTTCCTGGACGGCAAGGATGGGGACTTTGACTACAGGTGCTCCCGTGCCCTCCCCGCACCCCCCACCAGTCCCCCAGCCCGGCACCCCACGGGACATGGGCTCTGGGGTCACACAGCCCAAGGGTTTCAGATCAGAGATCAGTGGGTGACCTTGGAGTAGCTTTGTCCCTGTCCGAGCCTGTCCCCTCACCTGAAGGAGGGGAGTGAGCAGGGCTGACATTCAGCTCCGTATTGATAAAACACTGCAACATTCCCATTTGGGTAGGTGGTGGTGGTGGCCTGGTAGGATGCCAGTACTCCAAGCTTCCTAAGTGTCCCCCAGGACCCCGGACTTCCTCATGCTGCAGGAAGTAATCCCTGGCAGGGTAATGCCTGGCGTGGAGGGGCCTGTGGTGGGTGCCCCTGCAGTGCTGGTTGTTCATTTCTCCAGTAGAACCCCAGGGATAAGATACCTGGGCCACCTGCTTTGGAAGGATTTTGCCATCAGGGAAAAGGACACAGGCGAGTGAGGTATCAGAGTAAAAGATAAACGGTTTTGTCAACGGAGGCAGCCTCGCCTGTGGTCTGGAACGTCACGTGTGGCAGCAGAGGGCCCTGGTTTCAAACCCAGCCCGCATGACATATGATCAAGCAGAGCCTCAGGGCCTCGTCAGTAGAATGGCGGCGGGGGCGCGGGGGGTGGTGTCACGATTGCCACAGCTACAGCAGCGCCTGGTACCAGAGCCTTGCTGGCCCGGTCCGGGATCCCCAGCTCCAGAGGCGAGTCTGGCTGATGCACTTTTCCATTGACTCATCTCAGTGTTCCACACAAGGCAGTGAGTAGAGTCCCTGGGCTGTGGGGAGCCCTCGTAAGGGCACCACTGCTGTCATAAAGCCAGGTGCCCACGAGGAAGTCGGCCCTGGTGTGAGGAATGGGGCGTGGTGGGGACCGAAGCCTGTCCCCTCTCCGAGGGGCAGCTGCTGAGCTGCCTTCAGCCACCAGGTGCTCAGCGCTGCTGGGTCCAGGCTGGGGGTGAAGCAGGGAACAAAACCGATGGAAGGGTTCCCTGCCCTGAAGGAGTCCCACTCTGGCGAGGAAGGCAGCAAGGAGCGGAAGGGAGGTGCTGGAGGTGCGAAACATCTAGTGGCGATGGGGCCAGGAAGAAAGAGCAGGGTCCCGGCATTGGGGGTGGGAGCAGGGTGATGAGGTGGCCGGGGAAGGCTCTCTGAGCAGGTGACATTGGAGCAAAGACCTGCAGGAAGTGAGAGGCAGGTGACATCAATACCCTGGGGAAGAGCGTTCCTGGCAGGGGGGGCAGCAGGTGCAAGAGCCTTGAGGGGCACAGAGGAACAGCACGGTGTGCGAGAGGTGAGGGGGAGGCGGTCTCATCAGGGGGTGGCGGGGCTGGATTGGACAGGGCTTCCTGCACCAAAGAGAGTGTGAGGGAGCCTGGTAGGGTTTGGAGCACAACTGGGGGTTCTTCTCACAACTTAGGACCACTTGTTGCCTGAGGGCAAGGTTTGTCAACTTCAGCACTGTGGACCTTTGGGGCTAGATAACCCTTTGTCCTGTGTGTGGCAGGTGTCGAGCAGCATCCCTGACGTCCACCACTGGATGCCAGTAGCAGCCCCCCAACTTGTAACCACCAAAATGTCTCCAGTTATCACAAATGTTCCTTGGGGGGGAGAGCAGAATCTTCCTGGTTGAGAACCACTGCCTCAGGGCCCAGATGTGGGCCCATGTGTCACCACGTCTTCTGGCTTTTTAAGAGAAACCAGAAGTTTTCATGTAAAATCTCTGCTTTGGAAAATGTTGCCTTTTGTTTGAAGCCCTGAGAGAGGCAACATAACCCAGCTGTAAGTTCGCTCTGACTTACAGCTGCCAGCGTATGGCCTTTCACTTCAGGGGGCCACAGGCCCCAGCTCCTCTCCATAGAAGCGGGGAGGCTGGGGTGCAGGCAGAGCCAGCCCCTGACAGCTCCCTCCCCCTGCAGCACCGTGGACGACAACCCTGACTTCGACAACCTGGACATCGTGGCCCGGGATGAAGAGGAGCGGTACTTCGACGAGGAGGAGCCCGAGGACGCACCCAGCCCAGAGCTGGACGGGGACTGATGGCTGCGGCGCCCACCCCTTCCCCCGCCCCAGCGAGGCTGCTGGTTACAGGCCAGGCCGGCTCAGTGACTTTCTCTAGGCGACAGCAGGGTGGCTGCCCTATACCACCAAGCCTCGCTAGGTCTGGTCCCGTCTCCACGGCCCCCTCCCCCTTGCTCTCCATTTCCTTCTCCCCCTGAACCCTGGTGCCTCTCTCCCTCCTCTCTCCTCTCTCTCAGTCTTTTTCTCACCACCTTTCTGTCTCCTGCTTTCTGTGTCTCTCGCTCTTTCTCCACCTCCCTCTTTTTCCTTTCTGTCTTTCTCTTTCTCCCCCTCTCTCTGTGCCTCAGCCTCTGTCCCCACAGCAGGGCCCAGGATGAACATCCTCCCCTTGACCTAGGCCGGTGGGGCCCTTTGTCGCTGGAGCTGGCCAGGTTGACCCAGAGCGGAGCTCCGCCTCTCCCTCCCCAGCCCCGCCTCTGCTCTCCTGCCCCTCTGTGCTTGAGGCTGTCTCACATGCACCTCCTTGCCTCTGGTACGTTCCATCTCCTTCGGCCTCCCTCCATCTTTCGCAGCCTCTGTGCTGGCTCTGTCCCTCTCTGTCTCTCAGGCTTTATCTCTGGGTTTCAGTACCCCCCGCAAGGCCCTGAGCATCCCCCATCCTGGCTGCTGTGGGCCACAGAGCCTGACTGCAGAGTAATCGGGCCTCACTGTGGGCAGTGGGGAGACCTTGGGGGTGGCCACCAGCTCTCACCTCTCCCTCAGGACCCAGGTTTGGGAGAGGTGTGCAGGGGCAGCGTGGGATCGTGGGCCTGCCAGGTCGGGTATAGAGGGAGAGGAGGGACTTTCCCCTCCCAGCCCCACCAGCCCCCCTCTGCCCAGCCACAATTTTCCCTTCCTTCACTTCCTCCACCTCCCTCTCCCTCTCCTGTTTACACTTCCAAAATATGCACAGGCTGTTATCATGGGTCCTGAGTCATCACACACACACACACACACACACACAGACGGCCCCAGCATCCCTGCCCCAAGCCGGCCCCACCGAGCCCCCTGCCGCCCTGGGCTAATGGGAGCCAGATGGCCGCCTGGTGACTCAGCCACTGGCCTGTGGGAACCCAGGCATCCCGCCTTCCCATGCCCCCATACCCAGCTCAGGCTCCCCCAGTAGACATACGCAGGGAAGGGGCCAGCTGCTAGCAGGGGAGGACACAGGCCATGTGTTGGAGAGGTGGGGCCCGGGGACCCCTCACTTCTGTGAGCCAGGCCTGAAGGACCCTCAAAACTGCCTTCTCCGGCGTGGAGCCCAGAGTGCCGGGGAGACCCCACGGACTCCTGGGGCCACAGCTTTTGACCCCCAGGCCTCGCCTCTGCCCTCTGGCTCAACTGGAATTAGAGCCAGACACGAAGTGAGAGCTAGACAGAGGCCAAGGGATGTTCAGACAGACTATTAAATAAGGAAACTTCCGGTTACTGAGCAGTTCTGTCCTGTGCCAGGCCCCAGCAAGGTGCCCGATGCCGCACTGAATCCTCCACACAGCCCCGCGAACGAGGGGCTCAGCTCCATTCCGCTGTGGGTCACAGGAGGCCCAGAAAGGAGGTGTCACGTACTCAAGGCCACATGGCCATCAGAGATGGAAACTCGGGTGTAGAATCATAAGTCCTGGAGACCACCTCCTGGCCTGCCTGTCCGCGCTCAGGGCCACACAGAGTAGACAGACGCACAGACTTCTTCAGGGGTAACGAGTGAAGGAGAGTTAGCTGTTGAGGATAACGGCAGCTAACACCTTTGGGGCCCTCCTGGCGCGCTAGGCACTGTCCTTCCTATGCACAGATGGACGGCATCATCTAGTGTTTAGTACCTGAGTCACTGAACCATCACAGAGGTCCCATGCAGTATAAACTGTCAGTACTGATAGGGTGTCTCCCAGAGGAGGCCCAACGCGATCCAGCCAGCTAGACTCACAGTTGGGAGAGATGTTTGTCTCGGGTGCTTGTATTGCTGCCCTCAAGTTGTGAGAGGTCTTTCATAATACAGGCATCAGCCCTGGGTGATGGGCACATTTTTCAGCAGTCTGTCATTTGATCATTAAATTTGTGATACACTGCGCCATGCCTAAATTTGTTACATACATTTTTTAAGTGATGAGAGACGGCAATTGAGTCAGAATTAGGGTTAGTCAGATGGCAGAGAAGGAGCGTCTGTCTCAGAGACCAAGGTGGAGCCCAGAGGCACTCCCCCATCACAGCCTCAGACCCGCTGAGACCTGGAGGTGCCCAGAGAGGCGCCTGGCCCTCCACTCCTGGTTCTGGGGTTGGGGTGGGCGGAGAAGCTGAGTCAGGGAAGGGAGAGCCCCTCCGAGGGCATCCGGCCCCCACCCCGTGTCTCCTGTCTGTCCTGGCCAGGCTCTGCTGGCTGCCACCCCACCCCCCCATGTCTGACACCTCTTTGCATCCTGCCTCTCTCTCCTCATCCCCTCCAACCGCCTGCCTCGCTGTCCCTTCTCCCTGCTGCTGCTGTCTCCTTCCTCTGCCTCTCCCCTAGCTCCGTCTTCCCTTTCGGTCTGTCTCTGCAGCTCTCTGACTGTCATCGTCTCCCCATCGCTTCTCGTCTCCCCTCTCTCAGCCCCTTCTCTTCCCCCTCGTTGTGCCCGGGCCTCTGCCTCCTCTTCTCTCCTCTCCCTCCTTGTCATTCCCTCCCTCTCTGTCTCTGCGTCCCCGTCCCTGTGCCTTTCTGTCAGAGCCCCCCCCCCCGGCCTCGTCTTCACCCTCATTTTTTCCTACCCCTCTCTCCACTGTCTCCTGGCCCACCGCCCTTGTCCCATCTGCTGGTCTCTCTCCCAGATCCTGGGAAGCCCAGCGGGGGTGTCGGGGTCAGGGCTTCACTGGTGGCCCCTGGGAGCCCAGAATGAGGGGTCACCACCTCGCCCCCACCCAGAAAGGGGGCAGGGAGGCTGCGGCCTGTCTGGCCAGAAGGAAGTGACTGTGCTGTGGCCTGGTCACCCCCGCCCCCAAGACCTGCCCGGCTGCTGCCGCCCCCGGGCTGGGGCCAAGTAAACACAGCCGCCGGCAGCCCAAGATATTTATACTGAGGTCCGGGCGTGGGTCCAGTGCCCACCACAGCCCCTGCCCTGCCCTGCCCGCCACGGCCAGCCCCGAGCCAACGTGGCACCAGCCGGCAAGGGGACGCGCCGCAGGCACAGCCTGCACTCAGCATGGAGGCCGCATCACTCGGGATGCCAGCGGCTTCACTAGGGACACAGGATGCCCCCCATCCCTGGAAACACCAGCACAAATGCAGCCCCACACGTGCAGCTGCTTGTGAACACGAACACACTCACCCCACTGAAAACTCGAGAGTGATAGAGCAAAATAGAGACCCACACGACTGCTTACACAGTGAAGTCATCAGCCCACATGTGGGGACACAAAATGCAGACACCACCTGCTCACAGACACCCCTAGAGGCTGAGAACACCAGTCCCGGAGATGGACACACTGGGAGGAGGACAGCAAGCATGTGGGAGACACACCCCGTAGACACACAAACATGCTCGGAATACCCGCGACGCACACGCTGATCACAAAACGTAACCCAGAAGCTGCTCACCCGCAGACACAAACACTGGGAACCGCCACACACAGGCAGTGAGAACATCCTGAGTAGGAAACACAATGTACACGCGCACACACAGTACCTCCTGGAAACACACTTCTCACAGACCCATGAACATACACGGAAAACACCCACACTTCTCATCAAACTTATGCTAATAATGTGCAAATTTACACCCAGAAAAGAAGAGCAAGTGTGCTGAGAAAAAAATCCAGACACATAACACACCCCAGGGATACAACCAGCTCACACACGCAGACTAGCCGAGTCACAGTGTCCGGACACGGAACCCAAAGTGCACACTGGCTTGTGCAGCAGAAACACAAAACACAGGTGCAGGCACAACAAATGCAGCACAGTCTCTCACACACACACACATACACACACACACACATGCAGCACAGTCTCACACACACACACACACACACACACACACACACACACACTTGAACCCGTGCTGGAGAGACACCAGTTGAAAATCCCCCTTGGTCCATACCCAACACAGCCATCAGGCACCCAGCCGTGTGTTAGAGACCCCTATGCTGGACACACAAAATTCACACCACAAAGCTTGCTGGGACACACTCAAATTCACATTAGAAACACGAAAGACACCAACGCGCTGGATGTCCAGAGATCTAGGGGGAAGGGGGCTTTCTCTCCCTCCCCCCACCTCGCCCCTCCCTTTCTCCCTCTCACGCTGACCCCGTCCCAGGTCCCAGGCCTGTCTGAGGGAGGGGGCAGGAAGGCCTGAGCTGGCCTTCCCCGGCCCTGCTTCCTGCCCCTTGGGGGCAGGACGGGAAGCCGAGGCTCCAGCCGGAACCCAGGCTCCCCCCAACGACTTCCCTCGCCGCCCGGCCTGCCTGCAGAGGCGGGGGAGGGGAGCGGGGCGCCCCGAACCCCCGGGCCTGCCCCTGCGGCTGGCTGGGGGCCGGGCCCGGCCTTCCCGCGGGGCCAGGTGCCGGGAGGGGCGGGGCAGGAGCCGCCCCCGCGGCCGGGAAGGTGCTGAGCCCGCGGCTTTCCCTGTCCCCGGCGCCCGGGCGGGTGGGCGGGGTGCGGCCCGAGGGCGTGGCCAGGGCTCGGCGACCGCGGGAGCGCGCGGCCCGGTGTGCGGCCGGGACTTGTCCTGGGCCGAGGCGCGAGCTGGGCGTGTGAGGGCCACGGCCCCGGGGGTGTGTCTGGGTGTGCGGGACTCTCCGTCTGGGACCCGGGGTGTGACAGTGAGTCTAAGTATGACGGGTCGGCTACCGTCCGTAGGGCCGTGTGGGACTCCCCAGGCCTGAGCGTGTGGGGCCGGCAGATGTCAGGCCGAGTGGGCACGACCGCCTGGCGGTCTGCGAGATCCTGACGTGTCAGATCTCCGTGTGTGGTATGTGTCTGGGTGGGACTGTGACGTGTCAGGCCCTGTGCGTGCACACGGTGCCTGTTTGTGACCGTGACCCCATGGAGGATGTTTGTATAACTGTCGGTGGGTCGGGGCCGGAGTCTCTGTTTCATTTCCTGACGGGGCTCTGATGCAGTGAGGAGTGTGTCTGTGCATGGCACTGCCTCTATCTGTGTCCGCAGTGTGGTGGTTGTGCCTAGGATCCTACAGGATGTATTTGTGTGATTCCATCTTGCTGCGTCCCTATGGAAGTCTCTGCTTATGTTGTGTCCCAGCCAAGCTCCAAGGCTGGGCTGTGTGCACGTGATGGGGCGGCTGGTGACAATGGCAGCACATCCTTGGATAGGGAACTCCTCCGGCCCCCACCTCACCCCCAGCCCTCTATGGCTCCCAGACCTGGGCCAGGAGGAGTGACCACATTTCTACCGCTGGGCTGGGCTGGGCAGGCCCCGGGGCCCACCCATCCAGACCTGGTGCCACTGACCCACCTGCAAAGGAAGCTCAGCACTCACACCATCCTCCCCCAGGGCAGTCACTGAGCAAAGCAGGTCAAGGCCCCGGACCTGAGAAGGGCCGGGGAGAGAGACGGGGAACTGAAACCAGGGAGGAAGAGGGGAAACTGAGAAGCCAGAGAAAGAGGAAGCGGGAGAGAGTTCATCAGCAAGACCCCAGCAGATGGGAAGAAACACAGCAGAGGGAAACCCACCCTGGCTCAGGGTGCTGTCATTTCTCTCCTGGACAACTGGTCTCCCTGCAGTCACCCTCACACCCGTTCAGTCTACTCTCAACCATCAACCAGAGGGACCCTCTGAGCACTTCAGTCAAATCACATCCCTCTTCTGTTCCAAACCCTGTCATGGTGCCTTCCTCTCTCAGAGTACAAGTTATCACAGGTCCCCACAGGCCTGATGTGGTCTGGAAGGCAGGACCAGTGCAGAAGTTGTGGGCATAAGCCCTCAACTCTAGCTGCCTGGGTTTGAATCCCAGCTGTGCCGTTTGCTAACTATGTGATCATAACAAATAAGTTAACCTCTCTGTGCCTCAGCATTCCCATCTGTGGAGTGGGGAGCAAATGATCTCCAAAGCAGGAGTTGGCAGACATTTTCTGTCAAGGGTCAGATAGTAAATATTTTTGACTTTGCACAGTTTCTACTCAACTCTGCCCTAGTAGCACTAAAACAGCCACAGACAGTACAGTACCGAGTGAGCATGGCTGTGCTCCAATAAAACTTTATTGACAGGGCTTCCCTGGTGGCGCGGTGGTTGAGAGTCTGCCTGCCAATGCAGGGGACACGGGTTCGTGCCCCGGTCCGGGAGGATCCCGCATGCCGCGGAGCAGCTGGGCCCGTGAGCCATGGCCGCTGGGCCTGCGTGTCCGGAGCCTGTGCTCCACAACGGGAGAGGCCACAACGGTGAGAAGCCCGCTTACCGCAAAGGAAAAAAAAAACAACTTTATTTACAGAAACAGGCAGCAAGTCAGAATTTGCCTGCAGGCAATAGTTTGCCAACCCATGCTCTCTTGGGCTGTGGGGAGAATGCCGTGAGCTAGTAGAGTGGAGTGGAGAATTGTTGTTATTATCCTCTGGCCTGTGAGTGTTACTTTCTGACTCAGATCTTAACACCCTTCCCCTTGCCCCTCCCTTCCAAACGCACTGGCCCCTTTCCTGCCTGTGTAGCTCACCCCAAGTTCATCTTCACTTCCAGGCCTTTGCTTTTGTCTTCCTACCAAGAACACCCTCCCCCAGGCTGCCTTCTTGGCTTCCTTCAAGTCCCAAATGCCACCTCGTCCAAGAAGCCCTCCCTCCTCCCCAAAGCCATCTCTTACCCATCCTGCTTTCCTGTTTTCGCACAACTTTACTATGTCTGTCTCCTCCCCAGAAAGTAGGTTCCTGGTAGGCAGGAACTATTCCCTTAACCTCTCTGGGCTTCCATTTCCTTACATTAAAAGTGGGTGTTATCAGAGTCTCTCTCAGAGCTTTGTTATGGTGGTTAAATGAGTTAACATAAGGGTCCAAGGTGCTCAATAAATAAATCTAACCCTTGTTCACCAGGAGTAAGAAACATAACAAGCGCTAAGAAGTGTCTGTGTGAGGAGGGGCAAATGAATGATGGGCAGAGACAGGAGGAGGCAGATGTAAGTGTAAATGTAAGGAGATGCAGGGGGCATTGGGGGGGAGGTCGGGGGACGTCGGAAGAGAAACCCTAGTTAGGCGCCCAACGACACAGAGACCCAGTCCTCTCTCCACCTTTAATGGACCCCAGGTGGGCTTGGGCGCTGTGTCCTTAAATACAACTCCGATGAGGCGGGTGGGGGGCGGGGCCGGGCCTGCCGGGGTGGGCGGGACCTGTCGGGAGGGGCGGGGCCTCAGCTGCACTTGCAGGAGCGCACGATCATGTTGGACAGCTGCTCCACCTTGGGCTTGCGGCCCACGTAGTACACGATGGGCAGCGGCTCCAGCGCCTGCGGCACGCAGCACGGCGCCGCCGACGCGCCCGGGTTGTGCTGGTTGTACGGGGCCAGGACCGGGGGGGGGGGGGGGGGGGGTCAGGGTCGGGGGTCATGGGGAGGGTACCCCCACCCCGCCAGCCTCTCCCCATCTCCCTCTGTCTTATCTCATTCCGTTTCTTTCTGTTTCTCTGCCTCTCCCCAGTTTCCACTCTTGGCTTGTGTCTCATTGTCTTTCTCCTTCCATCTTCCTAATTCTCTATCCTCCTGCCTTTTTCTCTCTCATTGTGTCCCTCCGTTTCTCTTTCTCCTTCCATCTCCCCACCTCTTCCCAAGCCCAAGTTATGCATCTCCATGGGTCTCCCCATATCTCTGTCTCCCTCTGCCTCGTGTCTCTAACTGCTCAGACCCTGCCTCTAGTTTCTCTCCCATCCCTTTGCCACCTCCCCGCCAATCTCCCTGTCTCCTCTCTTTCTATCTCGCCAATTCATCTGATTTTACCTCTCTTTCTCCCTCTCCTCCCTCGGTTCCTGCTACCCTCATCCCACCCCCAGCCAGGGCTCCAGACGCACCTTGCTGTACTGCGTGTCCAGGCTCCAGATGTAGGGGCAGGGCCCCAGGCAGAAATTGGCGTGGTAGCCCTTGGGTTCGTGAATCCACTTCCAGCCCAGGTCCTTGCGGAAGTCAATGTAGAGCTGCCGAACGCAGCAGTTCTTTTCCGTGGAGCTGCAGGCCGGAGGGAGGGAGGAACCCGAGTCAGGAGAGCGGAGGGGTGCCCCTCCTCCCCCGGCTGTGCATGTGTTTCACCCTGGTTGCCCGCCAGCACGGTCTCCATCTTGGTCTCCCTTGCAACCCCTGTGATGATAACAGCAATAACAGTAATAGTAATGATCATCACTAACACTGATAAAGCACTTCCTCTAGTCCAGCACTGCGCTAAGGGCATCCTCATAAACATGATCTCAGGCAACGCTCAAGCCTGTAAGAAGCCAAATGAACGTCCAGAGGGGGCTACACCGACCACAGCACATCCACACACTGGAACATAAAAAACACAACGCGGCGCCACGTGTACTGATACGTTCTACGTGTGCAACAAATGTTCACTGAGCTACGACCGTGTGCTGGGCTGCGGTCTACTGGGGACGCAGTACAAACAAAACAGACAGAAATCCCTGCCTTATGGGGCCACATACTAGAGACTGTCCAGTCGCTCCTCTGCTCTGAACAAGGCAAATGCCCAAGCCCTCGCCATGGACCACAAGGCGCTACCAGATCTGGCTGATCTCAACTCCCTCCCCACTCCCACTCTCACTCTCCTTCGGCCACATTACCATCCTCGCTGTTCCTGAGTCCCAGCTCAGGACATTTGCACTTGCTGTTCCCTCTGCCTGGCTGGCTATTCCCACAGATACCCACTCTGGCTCTGTTTCTTCACTCCATTTGTATGTATGCTCAAACATCCCTCACTCAGGGACCCTTAACTCCTAGAACACTGCCTGGCATGCAGTAGGTGCTCAATAAGTATCAGTCAAACAAATGAATGTCATCTCCTCAGAGTCCTTCCTGGACCATCCTACCCAAAATACCAATCCAAATGTTTGTTAATTCCATAAAGTGTAATAACAGCATTCAGTTATGTGAGAAAACATGAAAATGACTGCAGCTGAAATGGGGCAAATCTTAATACTTGTTGATACTGGATGAGAGTTCGTGGGGGTTCCCTGTACCATCTTGGTTGCTTATGAATACATTTAAAGTTTCCCCTAATAAAAAAAATTTCAATCAGAAGAGGAAAAATCAATTAGCACAATGACTTCTTTCTTTCCCCTTCCTCAGATTGGTTTTTCCTTCTTGCCACCTGCTCTTTTATTAGATACTGATTTATCTGTTCGTTTTCTGTCTTCCTCTGAGGACAGGACTTTTTGTCTATTTTGTCCCTAAATGTGTCCCTGCAACAGTGCCTGGCATACAGCAGGTGCTTAGCAAGTACTGGCTGTATAAAATAATTGATGAATATGTTAGGTCTTTTAAAAGCACATTGGAGGGACTTCCGTGGTGGTCCAGTGGTTAAGAATCCTCCTCCCAATGCAGGGGACGTGGGTCCGATCCCTGGTCGGGGAAATAGGATCCCACATCCTGCGGGGCAACTAAGCCTGTACGCCGCAACTACTGAGGCCACACACTCTAGAGCCTACTGAGGCGCCACAACTAGAGAGAAGCCAGCCCACGCGCCACAACGAAGAGCCCGCTCACCGCAACAAAGAGCCCGTGTGCCGCAACTAAAATTCAATGCAGCCAAAAAAAATAAATACTTTTTAAAAAACAAAACAAAATAAAAAATAAAAGCACATTGGAGAGTGGTGGTATGTAAGACTCTACTGCCCTGGACTCGTGATCTCTGTCCCAGGCTCGGATGCAAAAGTCAGTCCTCCCCAGTCTGCGGCCCTGGCTCCATCATGTCTGGAAGGAAATGGGGCATTTTCTGTGCTGGCCCCTGAGGCCATGGTTGAGATGGGCTGGGAACTTAACTAAAAGGCTTGACTCATGGGCAGCTGAGAACACTTTAAATTCCATGTTCATAACATATGAAAGAAACACTATGCAAAGTTACAGGTACAGTATGATCCAAATTCTGTTTTGAATAGAAGGACTGGAGGGCAATATATTAAAATGTTGACAGTGACATTTCATATGTGGCAATGTGATGGGGGATATCGTTCTGTATTTTCCAAATTCTCGATAGTGGGTATGTGTTACTTTTAGAATCAGAAAATAAAATTTAAAGAAAGAAAATGCAATACCCCCCCCCAAAAAAAAAGACTATACCATTTGGACAAAATAAAAAACATATACATGGCTATGTGTAAGTGTCTCATACAGAGACTCTCTGGGAGGAGACAGAAATACAATAGAAGCCTCCTCATAGAGGGGCTGGGGGCCGGAGCTGGAGGGTCTCTGAGTATCCTTTCTGGGTTTGATCCAAGTGCATGCATTTTCCTACTCAAGAATCAATAGAGGAAAAAAAAAAATCAATAGCGGAATTCCCTGGCGGTCCACTGGTTAAGACTCCTTGATTCCACTGCAGGGGGCACGGGTTCGATCCCTGGTCAGGGAACTAAGATTCTGCATGTGTGTGGTGCGGCCAAAAAAAAATATCAATAGAGAATTCCCTACAAGGCAGGTCTTATTATTATTCCCATTTGAAGGATGAAGAAATTGAGCCTCAGAGAAAGGGGGATGTTGTCTGTTCACTCGTAGCCTACATGTGGTGGAGTTTGGGGCCAGGTTCACAGCTAACTCTGTGCTGCCCTGGAGTCTGTGCCCTCATCTGCCCAGTGCAACCATGTCAGCTTAAGCAGAGGGGGAAGAGGCAATGTGACAGGATCTCCCAGGGCAAGACAAGGCCTCTCCCAAGAGCCACAGGACGTTGAGAAGGAAGTTAGGAAACTTAGATTCCCGTGAGTTCAGCCTGGCGCCTCCCCAGTCTGGCTGGGCCGCAGTTCCCTCATCTGTACAAAGATGCAAGGGATGTTGGATCAAATAAGATGTTGTTAAGGGCCCAGGAGGCGTCAGGAAATCCATGGATGGGCTGAGGGAGGGGTCTGAGCCCCCCAAACCACAGGCACCTACGTGTGTATGTATAGGCATATTCTGGGGAAAAAAGGTTCCTGGCTTTCGACTTCTCAAGGGGTTCCCGGACTCACAAAAGGGGAAGAACCACTGTCCAGAATAATCTTTCATTTCTGGTCCAACTGTGCCAGGGTGCTGAGGTCCTAAGACTTGAAGTGTGTGATTCTATTATCCAACTCAACTGTTCTCCCTGTAGGGTCCCTGGAGCAGCAGCGCCGCCTGGGAACTTGTGGGAAATGCAAATTCTCAGGCCCCACCCCAGACCCACTGAATCAGAAACTGGGGGTGGGGATAGGTGGGAGACAGCAGGCCACATTTAACAAGGCTTCCAGGTGACCCTGAGGTGCATGCCTGGGGCCTGCTGCTTTCCAGGTCCTGTGATACACGCAGTCCAGGCGTTTGCAACTCTGCCCTCCAGTCTACCAGGACCCAACAGGGCCTGACGAGTAAAAGAAACCCACTTGGGGGACTTGCCTGGCAGTCCAGTGGTTAAGACTCTGCACTTCCACTGCAGGGGGCAACAGTTTGATCCCCAGTCAGGGAACAACTCAGATCCCACATGCTGCATGGCTCGGGCCAAAAAAGAAAAAAAAAGACCCAAATATGGTCTATACGTGGCAATTATTTGATACATATTTAATATTCTTTTTTAAAGTCTACAGAACCATCTCTCTGTTTCCCCACTTTGTATTGTATTTGTTGAAGAAACTGGGTCAGGTTTCCCACGATCTAGATGTTGCTGACTGCACGACCACGGTGTTGTCTAACATGTTTCTCTGTTCTCATATTTCTGGAAAATTGGATCTACCACACTGATCAGCTTCAGGTTTGATTTTCTGGGAAGATTTCCTAAGTGACGCTGTGTCCCTCATGTGGCTGGCACTCTCTCACTGTAATAGTATAAGCTGCTGGCACTCACGACCTCAATCCATTCATTCATCCACAGGATTGTTGGGCAGAGGGTAGGATCTGGGGGTGAAGGAGTTTGGGAGCAGAGCTGACTTTCCGGCAGGAGAACTGCATGTAACAAAGCCCAAAGGCACCATCAAAATATTAAGCAGGGGAGGGCCAAGGTCACATTATCATTCTAAACTCGCAACACTCTAACTCTGAACTTCAACATTCTAGGACTACAACTTTTCAGTTTTCTTGGACTGCAATACACCAGCCTCTCAAGATTCTAACACACCAACAGCTTTCCAGCTTTCTAGGATTCCCACATTCCAGCTCTCCAAGATCTTGGCATTCTTGAATTCCAATATTTCAAAACTGCATTCCAGGGCTTCCCTGGTGGCGCAGTGGTTGGGAGTCCGCCTGCCAATGCAGAGGACACGGGTTCGTGCCCCAGTCCGGGAAGATCCCACATGCCGCGGAGCAGCTGGGCCCGTGAGCCATGGCCGCTGAGCCTGCACGAACGGAGCCTGTGCTCCGCAACGGGAGAGGCCACAACAGTGAGAGGCCCGCGTACGGAAAAAAAAAACAAACAAAAAAAAACTGCATTCCAACATTCCACAATTCTGAGCCCATCACTCAAGAGGTCCAAGCTGCCACGTTCTAAGATCACAGCCTTCCAAGATTCTCACAAGATTCCAGCCCTGAGTCCCAACATTCTAGGTGACCAAGACTCTGGCTTTCTCCAACTCCAACATTTGTGGATGCTAATAATGTAACACAGGACTCCACTATTCTGGGCCCAACAGTCAAGGACTCCAATCTGCCGATACGGGAGACTCCAGTCTATCAATGGTATAGGAATCCAACACGGGCAATCTTCCAATTCTGAATTCCCAAGTTCTAGGATCCCAACATCCCTTGAGTCCAACATTCTCAGATTTCAATAATGAATACCGATTCTCACATCCTAGAATCCCCACATGCTCGAACCCCAACCTGCCAGCAGGACAGAAATCTAACATGGCGACCTTCCAGTATTGAATTCTCACATTCTCAGTGTTCAACGTTCTAATAGTCTCTGATTGCAACCCACCAGCCAGAGAGCCACCTGCTCTCAGCATTCAAGGACTCCCAGTTCGCACATCCCAGCATCCTAGGCCTCGGACCTCATCCCCCGAACGCTCCAGGCTGAAGCAGATGCCAGCCCAAGCGTAGCACCAGCCAGGTGCCCAATCTGCGGTGCCTGCTCAGCAGACGGCAAGGAGGCCCCCAGCCCAGAAGGCGTCAGGGAAAGGCTGCAAGGTTCACCTGAAGCAGTAGTTGGTGTCCAGGGCTCGGCGGTGCCGGGAGCTGTGCAGGTGCTGGGCCCTCTCCAGCGGGGTGGCCATGAGGAGCAGGAAGGGCCGGTTCATGCCATGAATGGTGGCGAGGTCACCCCGGCGGCCGGAACTGAACCCTGCTTTGGTTTGGGAGTCAGGCGGTAGGGAGGGTGGGGGAGACATACACACACTCTCAGATGGATGAATGGGAGATGGTCAAGGGGAAGAAACACACACACACACACACACACACACACACATCACTGGTGGGCATGGGGCCGGGCCGGGGAGGTGGGCCTCACCGTTAATGTCCACTTGGAGTGTGTTATCTTTGCTGTCACAGGAACAGTGGGCACTGAGGCGAAAGCCCTCTATTTCCTCTGTGGGAGTGGGGAGAGGGAAGCCAGTGTGAGGGGGCGGCTCACCCAGTCCCTGGGGGATGAGAAAGGAAGTAGCAAACCCCCGGCGTGGGGGTGGGGGGACCTCCTTCCTGCCCCTTCCCCTGCCTGGCCTCTCACTGCACCCTCGTGCTCCAGTCCTTTGCCTTGCAGCCTCCTCCTCTTGCAGGTCTCAGCTCAAAGGCCACCTCCTCCTGGAAGCCCTCCAGGACACAGCCCCTCCCCCACTATGACAGCACTTTATTTTCTCCATAGCACTTACCCTGACATTTGTATCTGACTATTTATTCCCCTCTTTGTTCTCAGTGGCAAAGCAGGATACGTGGGGGCAGGGATCCTTGTTTTCTTGTTCCCCACTGGGCCTGGCCCACAGTCGTAAAAACAAACATCTCCTGAGTTCGCACTGGGTGCCAGACCCTGTTCTAAACACTTTTTGTGCGTTATTTCCTTTAATCCTCACCAAAGCTCCCCATTTTACAGATGAAGAAGCCAAGGCCCACAGAGAGGGGGTGACTTGCCCAAAGTGGGAAAAGGCAGGGCTGGGATGCAAGTGCCTGGGCTCTTGTCCCAGGGCCAGTGTGGAAGAAAGTTTTCTTGAATGAATGAGTGAATGCCTTTCTAAGCTCCCACTATGTGTTGGACCCTGTGCTGGGGGCTCTGGACTCAGCAATCAGCCCAGGACACTTGTCGCAGCGCTCACCTGCTCCCTAACCCCCATCTTTTCCTCTGGCCAAACCATCACTTATCTCATGAGTCTCAACACAATCATCCTCATCCAGGAAGCCCTCCTGGACCCCTCCAGATGGGTTTGGATGCCCACTCTCGGCTCCCCCATCCCGGCCCTGGTCATTGTGGCCATCACAATGGGAGTCAGGCGGGCTCCCTGCTAGGGCTTTGGCAAGATTTCCTAGGTGTCTAGAAGTGACTGTGGGCCCCATGAGGGCAGGCCTAGAAGTTGTCATGGTTACCACTGTGTCCCCCACACCACCTGCACAGGGCCAGGCACATAGCAGGAATCTACTGGCATCTACTGAGTGAAGGAATGAACGAGACGGAGACTAGGAAGGGAGATGTGGGTACTGTGGACTCAGATGAGACAGGACAGACAATCCTCTTCTGGACAGATCAGGTGTGTCAGGCTCTCCCTGGACTCAAGGGCTCTGCACAGCCTATCCCTCTGCCTTGAACACTCTTGCCCCTCCGTCTTTCCCAGGCTGGCTCCACTCATCCCTCAGACAACCGCTCTAATGTCCCCTCTTCCAGGAAGCCCTCCCTGATTTCCCAGGCTGGGTCAGGCACCTCCTCTGGGCTCCCCCTCCCAACCCTGCCCACTCTGGGACATTACTACCTGGTTTTCAGGTCTTTCCCCCAAATCCCTTAACCCAAGCAATGGATGATAAGCTTCACGAGGGCAAGTATGGTGCTGTTTTGGTTACTGTTTTGTCCCCAGCATCACCCAGCACAGGGCAGGTGCTCAGGAAATGGATTTACCATTAATCACTCAGGTTTGAGTGCCTGGAAGGAGGCCCAGGTCTGGGCTCTTTGGCACCAACATGGGGCGGGCGGTGCTAGGCAGGGGAGCCCCAGGACAAACAATGGGGTCAACCCCATTACAAAATAGGGGTTGGGAGGGACTTCCCTGGTGGTCCAATGGTTAACAGTCCGCGCTTCCACTGCAGGTTCGACCCCTGGTCGGGGAGCTAAGATCCCACATGCCACGCAGTGCGGCCAGAAAACACAAAAAAAATAGGGGTGGGGCAGACAAGCGGTCCTCACCTCCGTGGGTCAGCCACTGCCGCACAACTCCAGTGACGTCAAAGGACAGCCACTCCGGCGAGTCGCTGGGGGCCAGCAGCCGGTTGCTGAGGTAGCGCCAGGAATCATTGCTGTATTTCTGGGGGATGATGAATTGGGGGGAGAGACAGTGGGTAGATGCTGCCACACACCCCTCATGTACACTGCACCCCTGAGTCCATCTGCTCCCCGAAAAAGGCTTCCACACAGTCCTGCAGACTGTCCCCTCCCAGACACCCAAACCGAGGGGCCCACAGGAGCCACCCACCCCACAGCAGCCCAGAGGGGAGAGAGAACCCCAGGCTGGGGGGTCAAGGCACCTGGGCAGCTCATCCTCTATGCCTGACCCCGGCGTGGCCATGGAAAATTCCTCTCCCCTTTTGTCCTTGGTTTCCTCACTGATGAAATGCCAGGCGGCCCCTTTCAGCTTGGACAGCCCACGATGCCACGATTCTCCTACTGACATCGTAGGGGTCACTGACTATAGACAGTTCTGCAAATTTGGCCCCCCAAATTCTGAGAGTCTATCACGTTCCTTCTTTTTTGAAAAAAAAGTATTTATTTTTTATTTATTTATTTTTGGCTGCTTTGGGTCTTCGTTCCTACGCGCGGGCTTTCTCTAGTTGCGGCGAGCGGGGGCTACTCTTTGTTGCGGTGCACGGGCTTCTCATTGCGGTGGCCTCTCCTGTTGCGGAGCACAGGCTCTAGGCGCACGGGCTTCAGTAGTTGTGGCACATGGGCTCAGTAGTTGTGGCTCGCGGGCTCCAGAGTACAGGCTCAGTAGTTGTGGCACATGGGCTTAGTTGCTCCGCAGCATGTGGGATCTTCCCGGACCAGGGCTCGAACCCGTGTCCCCTGCGTTGGCAGGCAGATTCTTAACTACTGCGCCACCAGAGAAGCCCCGAGTTATCACTTTCTAGAAGTTATGTTAGAAGTCATTCCATAACGCCAGTGCTCAGTGGCACCCCAAGAATTACACATTCAATGAGCCTGAGACATTCCAGAGGACTCATGTTCTACAGACCCACGAGTCTGACATGCCACAAACCTAGATGTTGCAGACGCCTGACATCCATGTGGAATGATCCCCTGGGAGCTGGCAGGATAAAAGCGAATTCTCTAGACTCCAAGAAGTTAACATCAGACAAAGTTCCCTTGTTTTGGTTTTTTTTTTTTTTTTTGCTGTACGCGGGCCTCTCACTGTTGTGGCCTGTCCCGCTGCGGAGCACAGGCTCCGGATGCGCAGGCCCAGCGGCCATGGCTCACGGGCCCAGCCGCTCCGTGGCACGCGGGATCCCCCCGGACCGGGGCACGAACCCATGTCCCCCGCATCGGCAGGCAGACTCTCAACCGCTGCACCACCAGGGAAGCCCAAAGTTCCCTTGTTGTAAGAGTCTAACACCTACTACTGAATCTAACATTCCACATGACAGGGATTCTGGGTCACACAACCTTCAAGAGAATCCAGAACTTCTTGAGGCTCCCATCTTCCTGGAGACTCTTCTAGAAAAGAGCTAACCAAGAGACCTTTCCGTGATGATGGAAAAGTTCTTTATCTGTGGTGTCCAAAATAGCGGCTGCTAACCCCATGTGACTACAGGCCACTTGAACTATGGCCAGTGAGACGGACGAACTGAATTTTTTCTTTTATTTAATTTTGATCAACTTAAATGGCCATAGGTGGCTAGTGGCTACTGTGTGGGGACAGAGCACTTTGAAAGTCTGCAACCCTTACAGAGATTCAAATTTTCAAAAGTCCTGAGTTCTTAGAGTCCAACTCCTAAGATTCCGGCCTTCTAAACGTTTAACCTTCTAGGGCTCTAGGAGTCCGAAAGCTTCAGAGCCCTGTGATCCCACAGTCTGTGCCTTCAGGATCGGTCACTATGGACCCTGAAGCCACCAGCCTTCCAGCCGCCCCAGCCCAGGCCACCTCTGGGGCCCTCGCCCCCACCTGGTACAGCTCCACGTGCTGCTCCACTTTTAACTTGAGCCTCAGCAGGCGCAGCTCTGCCCGAGAGAGCAACACGGGTTCGGGCACCGCTTCCCGGAGCTCCGACGTGTTGAAGAGCATATACATGCTGTGTGGACTACGCTTGATTTTCCCATAGATTTCTAGGCAGAAGGAGCCGAGAGGGGGGATGTCAGGGTTTGACAGGGGCAGGGGAGCTGGCGCACCCCAAGTCAAAGAGCCCTGGGTTGGAGTCTAACCCTAACACATTTTAGCTGTGTGACCTTAGGTGACTGGCTTCTCCTCTCTGGGTTTGTTTCCACCTCTTTAAACGGGATCTTATCCACCCTTCCCTCCCATCAACTGGGAAGTGCCCCTCAGGACAAAGCTGGCACAGGGCTGGGCACTGCTCTAACTGCTTAGGCCTCCCCAGCACGTGGAGCCTCAAACGCAAGTTATGTCGCAGCCCAGGGATCAAGGGCATTTGAATCGGACTGTGCCTCGACTGCCTACTTTCTTGGGCAAGTCACAAGCCCTCTCGGAGCCTCAGTTTCCTATTCTTTGGGGAAAGATCAACCTGACATCAAGTTCTCTGCCTCCCAACCCAGGCTCTCCTAACTGAAGCGCGGGAACTTTGGGCAAGTGAATTCCTCTCTGTGTGCCAGGTTCTCACCTGTAAGACAAGGACTGATTACAGGTTGCTAGTGTGAAATAAGCGAGATGATGCAGATAAAGTATGTCGTACAGAGTCTGCATACGATGCTTACTCTAATGTGTGTGTTCAACAACCCCATGAGGAAGATACTATTAGTATACCCGTTTTATAGATGGGAAAACTGAGGCAAAGAGATGAAACAATTTGGCCCCAAGATCACGCAGCCAGGAAGCTGCAGAGTGGGGATTCAAACTCAGCCAGTCTGATTCCAGAGACTGTGCTCTTAACCCCTAGGTTATGCTGCCTCCCTGCTAATGTGACATTACTCTTGTTGTTGTTATTATTATTATTATTGTTTCCTTCCCCAGCTGGTTAGAAAAGGCAAAGTTCATTCTAGGTAAGAATGGCTTCGGGGGCGGGGGAAGGGGAACAGAGAAAATTAGGAAGTTTTCTAGTCTAGGAAAAGTTGGGGGTTGGGAAAGAGTGGGGCAAGCCATGAACTCCTGGATCAACTGGGACAGCTGCTTTAGGCCTCTGCAGTGGGGGCATGGAAATGGTGGAGACATCCGATGAGAAAGGACAGAGGAAGCCCCTTCTGTGGGCCTCCTTCCCCTACTCCTCCCCTCTCTAGCCGGGCCAGCCCCTGCCCCGCACAAAAAAAGCCCTATCTTGGCCCAGGAGTTACTCAGCAGACCCCAAAGGAAGGGTAGAGCCCAGGCCTGGGAGACAGATAGGGAAGAAGAGAGATAGAAGGGGCAGGAACGGTCAGAGGGAGAGATGGAGAGTAGGGTATGGAGGAGAAAAAGCGAGAGAGAGGGAAGAGATGGAGAGACAGAAACTGGGAGACCCAGACTGGGACAGAGAGAGTAACGGTAATGCGGGAGAGATGGAAAGGCAGAGATGGGAGACAGACACACGGGGAAGAGAGACATAGGGTTTGGGAGCGAGATGGAGGCAGAAGAGGAATGAAGAGAGATTGAAGGTATCAGTGTTGGAAAAATCTCTACAACCAAGGTGAAGCTACGACGGAAAAGGTGAGACGGAGATGTGGGAAGGTAGGGGTGTCATTCGGCTGAAGCGGCAACTGGGTACACAAATGGGCCAGAGACCCACAAGTCTAATGCCCAAGAGGGAAAGTGAAAGCAGGGGGGTCGCCCCCAAGCCTCTGGGCCACGCGGGACGCCTGGGTCTCCGCGGGCGCCGATGGGGCGGGCCCAGCGGTAGTGCCGCCCTGAGCTGGGGGTGAAGGGGGCGGGAGCCGCCGCTGCCACCGCGAGGGCGGGGACCGGACCTGCCTTGTCTCGCCCCAGGCTCCGCGCGCGATCCCCGCCCCCCGAGGCACGGGAAGGAAAGGAAGGGAGGGAGGGCTAGGCGGCCGGACGCTGGGGTTTCCCCAGCCTCCTAGAGAGGAACTAGGAGTTTGGGGTCCAGGCTCTCAGCATTCAGCTCTGCTGGGGTTCTCCTGTCCCCTTCCGGAAGCGCAGGCTCCGCCCCCCGCGCGTGGCACACACGTGGGGCTTCCTCACCCCTACCAGCTCGGTTTTCTCACCCGGGTCTTGTAGAGTCGCACCCACCCACCTCTCCCTCTATGGCTCGACTCCTCACTCAGCCCTCTCCCTTCCATCCCGCGGCGTGGCGGAGGCTCGCTGCTCCCAGCATGGCACCGTCCATCTCTCCTCTGCCCGCTCCCAGGTCCACCTTTCCCACGCTTGTCTCTCCGCTCTGTATACCCCTTCCCACGACCCAGTATTCTAGGTTTCCTGGGGGCTCGCTTCCTCCGCTGGGCTTCCTCCTCTCACGTCCGTCTGCGAAATAGAGCACCTCCCGGCGCATCTCCGGCATCCCCCTGGGGTCTCCGCTTCTCTCCCGCCAGTTTCCCCCACCCTACGACCTCGCGCCCCCTTTTGACCTCGCATTGATCACCCCCCTCCCCGCCTCTCTCTCTAAGCCCTTCCCCAATCCCGCGTGTTCTTCGCGCCGTGTGCAAATGCGTCCACTCTCCACTTTCTGGAACCTCTGGGGTTCGCTTCACCTAGTTCTTCTGTCCTTCTTGAATCTTCCTGCCTCATGACCCCTGAGCTCTGAGTCAGCTTTCCCACTACCTCTCCTCTCCCCAATGCCGGGGTCCTCACTTCTCCCAAAGCGAGCTCCCTCTCTGCGGGCCCCACCCACGACCCCCGCACTCTAGTGCACCCTGCAAGGGGAAGTCTTTTTCTACACCCCCACCCCGTAACTGCTTCGCTTCTCTCCCTCTAAGGGACTCCCCCCGCCCACGATCTCGCATGTTCCTGTAGCCCTCCAAAAGCGGTCCACTCCGCTCACTATCTCCTCTTCAAGACCAGATACCTGGGGGGTAGGGAGCTCAGCCCTATCCTCTTTGAGACTCCCCCTCCCAAGTTCCCGGCGCCCCCGGGGGTCCTCTTCCCCCAGCCAGTTTCCTCTACCGGTAATTTCCTCCCCGTGACCCCTGCACTCCGGCGCCCCCTGGGGGCTCCCCTCCAGGGTTCCCCTGCCCCTCCGAGCTCACCGTTGCTGTTTTCCACCATTAGCACGCGGGTGACCTCCTTGGCGTAGTAGTCCGCCTCTGGCTCAGGCTCAGGTTCGGCACTTTCCCCGGCCACCCGGTCACGGGTACTGTTGTAAAGAGCCAGTACGGCCTCGGGCAGCGGACCGGGCGGCACCTCCCCCTGGCTCGGGGGGCTGGCGAGCCGAAGCTTGGACAGAATCTGGCCGCGGATGGCCTCGATGCGCTTTCGCTTCACCAGCTCCATGTCGATGGTCTTGCAGGTGGACAGTCCGGCGGCCGGCCGGCCAGGCGGCAGCACTAGTAGCCACAGCAGCGGCAGCAGCAGCGGCAGCAGCCGCAGCCCCGAGGGCGGCATGGGGGAGGCGGCGCCCCCGGCACAGCCGAGAGCGCAAGCCGGGCTGGGGTGGGAAGAGGGAGGCCCCGCCCCTACAGGGGCTGGGGGGGGGGTCTCCCGAGGAAAGGTAGGAGGGTCTGGGGAGGGAGGGAGTTGAAGCCCTCAGGGAGGACGGAGCGGAGCTGGAGGGGCGGCTCTGATGGGTGTGTTCTCGGTATCCCACGGCAAAAACCGAGATGAGCGAGATCTGGTACCAAAGGTGGGTGGTCTTGAATAGGAAAGCTGAGGCAGGTCTGAGATTGATCCCGTCTCCTGGATCCCGGAGGAGAAGGGTCCTTGGATGCGCGGGGGCTCAAGAGAGAGGCTAGGAGTTGGGGGCCGTGCGGGAGGGTGCGACCGATGTCTGGGGTCGAGTCCTCGCGGGAGTCGGGTATGAGGCTCCTGAGGGCTGGTCCGGAATGGGGGCGCCCGGGGAACGCCGTGTGGGGGGAAGGAAGGGAGCAAGCGTCCGAGGCGGTGCAGGGCGGAGGTGCGGTCTGGGGTCCCGCAGTCCTGCCTCGCGGAGCAGCGCTGCGCGAAGGTCCCCGCGCCTTTGGCTCCCAGCGGCAGCGGAAAAGTCTCAAAACTTTTTTCCTCTTCTCCCAACCAGCTCGTCCCTCCTCCCGCTCCTCCTCCCCCTCCTCCCCGCAGTGGCGGCGGCGGCGGCGGCGGGGGCGGCGGCGGCGGCTCGTCTCAGACTCTGGGGCCTTGGGCTGCTCCTCGGCGGCTCCTTCCTCCGTTCCCGGCTGAGGCCGGCCCCGCGGGCGGCTTCGAGCCGGGGGGGTGCCCCGGAGGGGGCGTCCCCCCTGCCCCCGGCCGGGGGCCTCGCTGTCTGGCGGATCCGCGGCGGGAGGAAGGGAGTGGGACGGCCTGGGGCGCGAAGGGCGGCGGCGGCGGCGACCGGCTGGGGCGGCGGGGGGTTTTTGAAGCCGCCCCGGCCCCACCCAGGAAGCGCGCGGGGCGGGGGCGGCCCTCAGGGGGAGGGCATGGGGGGGGGCCGGTCCACCGTCCTCATCTCGCGTGGGCGGGCTCCGAGGGGGGTCCCTTAAGCCCTGGGGGGAGGGGGCGGGCACCCGGCTCCGCCCCACCAACAGGGTGCTGCCTCCTGGCGGCTGAGCGCTACCAAAGCGGGCGGCTGTGCTGCGTGTGGCTTTGAGGACTGTGCGAGGGTCACCGAGGGAATAAAGACCTGGCGGGGAGGGCTCAGTCAGAGGATGGGGACGCAGGTACAGGGAATCCGAGGACGACCACCCCGAGTGGAGAGTGGGAAGCTGGGGCAGTGGGGGAGAGGCTCAGCCAGAAGACAGGGAGCCAGTGGGGAGAGGGGCACAGAGGAGGGGGACCCCCAAGGAGTGGGGGCCATAAGAGCATCACCCAGCGTGGGGAGGGGGTCAGAGGTTGAGGCAGAGGACAGGGGAAGGGGGCCTGAGGAAGGAGGGTGACAGTGAGAGGATGGGGCACTGGACATCCAACAGATGAAGGTCAGAAAAGCACTCGCATCTGAAAGAACTGCTCTCCTTTACTGAGCCCTTCCATGTGCCAACAGCTTCTCTGCACCCAACCCCTGTGAGCCCACACATTTACTGCCCCCATTTTACAGATGGGGAAACTGGACCTGGGAGGGGCAGCCACTGGGCTTGAGATGCTAGTCAGGATAGAAGCCACACCAGTCTTGGCTGGGGTCAGGTCTGACAGTCTCCAGAGCCCATGCTTCTGACCCCTGTGCCATCCTGCCCCTCACCGGGTGTCCAGAGATATGGCTGGGGGCCAGCGGTCCACACAGGGTCCTTCAGCATTCGACGCCATAACGATCGAAGTGGCGCAGCAGCAGGCCCAGCTCAAGGTGCACGGTGCCACCGGCAGCAGTGTGCAGGCGATAGCGGTCAGCCCCACTGTAGATGGCATCTCCGTGCAGCAGCTGAGGCCCGCCACCCACGAAGGCCCTTGCCAGCTGCTCCCGCCAGCTGCCTAGGGGCCGCCACGTCGGGCAGTCCAGCTGGTGGGTGCCTGGACTGCTGGGCACATGGCAAAAGCCGTAGCCTGCAAGCTGGCAGCGGCCGAAGCTGTCCTGGGACCATACCTGGAGATGGAGTCGGGGCCAACCTGCAGCATAGGAGGGAGGGAGGCAAAGTGGGATGGGTACAGCCCAGCAGGAGCTCCTGGAGATCCCAGGCCCGTCCTTCCCCGCCAGGTTTCTGCCCCAGCCTCCTCTCTGGACTCCTACCCCCACAGAGCAGCCAAAGGGATCCTTCTGAATCCGTATTCCTCCCCTGCTCAAAACCCTTCTATGATTCCCCAGTGCACTCAGTATAAAGTCCGACCTGAACATTCAAGGCCCTTTAGGTCTGGCATCTGTTGACTTCCCTCTCCGTGGCCTCTTCCTCTGTGTCCCCGTCTCAGGGGAGCCCAGTCCCCAGGTGAGTATGTTGGGCCTTGTCCTCGATGCCTCCCTCCTTCCTTCCCTCCCCGTGGCCACACCCTGTCCTCTTTTCTGGCCTCAGGGCCTTCTTTCCTGCTCCCTCCAATCCAACTTTCACCTGGCAGCTGGAAGCATCTTTCTCTCCCTTCCATAGGTTTCCCAGTGTCCTCACTCAGAATATAATTCAGCTCCTCAGCCTGTAGGCAAAGCCCTTGGAGACCCAGCTCCATTTCACCCTCCTTTCTGAGTCCCTCCGTGCTAGGCCCTGTTCTAGAAGCTGGAGACACAGCAGTGAACAGAGCAGACAAAAATTCCTGCCCTTGTGCAGCTGACGTCTTGAACAACGAACACAGTAAATACACAAATTATAGGGTACGTCAGATGGTGATAACTGCTCTGAAGAAAAACAAGCTAGGTACGGTGGGGGTAGGCATGCAGTTTTTCTTTCTGTTTTTGTTTTTTTAATATTTATTTATTTGGTTGCACTGGGTCTTAGTTGCAGCAGGCAGGCTCCTTAGTTGTGGCATGCGAACTCTTAGTTGCGGCATGCATGTGGGATCTAGTTCCCTGACCAGGGATCAAACCCGGGCCCCCTGCAGTGGGAGCGTGGAGTCTTAACCACTGGGCCACCAGGGAAGTCGTGGCATGCGGTTTTAGAAAGGGGGTGATCAAGCAAAACTTTCCTGAGAAGGTGACATCTGGGTGAATGCTTAAAGGAGGAGAGGGAGTGGGGGCTATGTGGATATCTAGGGAAGAACGCTCCCAGCAGAGGGAATAGCTAATGCAAAAGCCCTGAGGTGGGAGCTGCCTGGTGGGGCCGATGTGGCTGGAGCAGAGTGAGATGGGGGAGAGGGGGAGGAGGTGACAGAATCAGATTGAGCAGGGCCTTGTGATCCATGGTAAGGTTTTGCCTTTTACCCTGAGTGAGATGGGGACCACAGAGGGTTCTGAGCAGAGGAGGAATGTTACCTAACTTAGGTGTTCACAGGGGGACAGACTTATGGGGCTGAGGTGGGAATACCAGTAAAGAGGCTACTGTAATAGCCCAGTGAGCGGTGAGGGTGGACAGATCGGGGTGCTGGGAAGAGGGTAGGGGGAGTGGTGGGATTCAGGATTCATTTCAACGGTGGGGCTAATGGGATTTCCTGATGGACAAAATTGGGGCGGGTAGGAGAAAAGAGGAGGCAAGGATGATGCCCACATTCAGAGACTCGGGGTCCTTAAGAGCTGAAAGGACTGTTGCCTGCCTCACTTTCCAATCCATCACCCACAAGGCAGCCAGAGGGATCTCTTAAAAGCAAAACCTGACTTGTCAATTGCCTGCTCTGGCTCCCCAGTGCCTTCAGGATATGGCCTCCACTCTGCGGCCTGGCATTCAAGGCCTTGCAATGGCCTGTCCCCTGTCCCCTGTCCCCTGTCCCCTGCCACCTCACCCCCCGCAGTCCTCCTGCTCTCCGTCGGTCCTCCAAACGCCCCTGGCTCACTTTCCCCCTTGAGGCATCCACATATGGTTTTCTCCCCAGAACCCTCTTTCATCTTTCTGTTTTAATAGCTCCTACTGTCCTTTCACAGCAAAGCTCAAACATCCCCCTCCTCCAGGAAGCCCTCCCTGAACCCCCCAGCAGGGTCAGGCACCTCCGCTGGCCTCCCATAGCCCTTCAAGATCCCCCATACCAGTCCTGCCCACTCTGGGTTACCACTGTCTGAGGGCAGCTCTGTCTCTCCCAAGGGATGATGAACTGTGTGGGGACAGGGCTGGGGAGCTGTCTCAATCACTGATATCTCCCTGGCTTCACCTGACACAGGGCAGGCACTCAGTAACTATTATTTATATGGTAGAAATATATGGCATATTTACCTAGGCTATTTCCTGGAATCCACCCCTCTTTTTTTTTTTTTTTTTTTTTTTTGCGGTACGCGGGTCTCTCACTGTTGTGGCCTCTCCCGTTACCGAGCACAGGCTCCGGACGCGCAGGCTCAGCGGCCATGGCTCACGGGCCCAGCCGCTCCGCGGCATGTGGGATCTTCCCGGACCAGGGCACGAACCCACTTCCCCTGCATCGGCAGGCGGACTCTCAACCACTGTGCCACCAGGGAAGCCCCACCCCTCTTTAATGACCCAAATGTTCTGCCAGAAGAGGTTTTCTGATACCCCTCCTCCCCCACGTATTCATCTCCCCTCTGAGCAGCTGAGGAGCCCTACCTGCAAAATAGCCACCAGCCCTCACCTCTCTCTCTCATAACCCCTCCCAGCTTCCTGCTGATTGAAGACTCTCTTGCTTTGTCTCTGTGAAAGCCACCTCCCTCTCCCCCTGGCTCTCCCCTTGACCTTGCCCCGTCCACCCCTGCCTCTGCCCCACTCCTAATGCACTCTACAGCCGGCCTGGGGAGGCCTCAGCTCACCCTCTCCAGGGCCAAGCCTGGTCAGGAAAGGGACCCAAAGGGCATGGGGGCAGGAACAGCACTTGATGTTTCCAGTCCCCGCAGCACTGAGTACCTCTAACCCACCTCCCCTTAGTCTAGCCTGGGGCCCAGGCCGGGAACTCACCTTGTAGGCCTTTGGTGGCAAAGTGCAGGTCGATGGGATGGGACCAGTAGGCCATGTCCCCTATCTGGGGGGTGTCCACCTGTGTTTGGCCCTCCCGCACGCCTGACAGGAGCTTCCATGCTGCCCCTGCAGTGAGAGCCAGGACACGGATGAGGCAGGGCGGGGTGGGAGGCAGCCATCAGGAAGGGGATCCCACTGTGGCTATAGGACCCCATTTCTCCCTGGCACTGGGGAGCAGAGGGTTGCAAAGCATGGACCCTGGAGCCAAATGTCTGGGTACAAATCCTGGCACTACTTCTTCCTGCCCATGCAACCTTGGGCCAGTTACCTTTCTCTGCCTCCGTCTTCCCATCTGTAAGGTGGGTGTAATAATAATGCATTCCTCCCAGGCTTGTGAGAAGGTTAAATGAGTTAATACAAACGAGGCACTGAGAACAGTGTCTGGGGCATAGTGAGTGCCGGATGAGTGCCGGGGATCATTTTACTACTATTCTCACCCCATGCTTAGAGGCCTAGTCCAAGGACTAAGATGGAGCTGAGGCGCTCCTTCACAAGCAGAAGCACAGAGCAAATCGTGAACGGTGCGTCGTAATAGCAATCCTACTG